AACGCATACGCACGCTTTCCCCTAAGCGTAAACAACGCTGATTACGTTCATGCGCGCGCTTTCCCCCCGAAGTAAACAACGCTGTTTTTACGTCGAATACGTTTTTGGATACTCTCCAAAATGGCATATACTGTGTGTGTATATATATATATATATATATATATATAGTATATGTACACTCACACATGAAATCTTTAGTAATATTTTAAATGTCTGTACTTTTTGAATTCAGTTGCATTTTCTGAATAAAAGTATTATATAATATAAAAAATGTGTGTGTGTGTGTATATATATATATATATATATATGCTGGAAAATGTCACATTTCATTCAAACTGTAAAGCTGGCAGGGATTATTCAACTTTAGAGTAGTTTCTCATTAATTCTGTCTCTCTCCTGGGACGTTTAGTCATGTTTTAACAAAGTCTCACTCTACATGATCTTAAGGCCCTCAGAGCTTTTCTGGACGTCAGAATGACACTTAAGGTGATGTGAGCGGGTGGATATTTGCCGAGGCATTTCGCCTAGAGAGTGTGATTGCTCCAGTTTCAAACATTGTGTTGCTTTCACACTTCTGTCTCGTTGACACTCAGTCCACACCTTCTGAAAATGTGTGAATCGCACTGCCCAGAGATCACACACACTCTTACTCATCTCCAACACACACAGCTGTGTTTGAGCTGGCTGCCATATGCTTGATTTAATTACCACCATTAGTTGACTTTGTTTGTTTATGTGAGCTCTGACAACCTGAGAAGTGTGATTGTGAACGTTTCTGATTACTTGTACTGTTACACACATTTAAACAGAAGTCAAGGCTATGATCAGTTAATGTCATGGATTTAGGGTTAATATGGAGTTAATATTCCGAAAATGTCCTTTGGTCTAGAATGATTAAAATAAGAAATTTTGCATAAAGAAAGTTGGTTTTAGATCTTTTTTTTTTTTTTTTTAACTTTGTTGCATTTTTTGTATGACAACAATCATTGTCCATGTAAAACTGTAAAAAAAAAAAAAAAAAAAAAAGTTTTTCCCCATTACAATAATGAGAATTGTTATCATTGTAAATAAATGTTTGCATTTAATTTATGCTGATTAAAGAAGACAGCCACTTTCAGTAAATATATGCCATACGATGTTAAGAGTAAGAAATGTATAATATTGTAATATAAAATAACAAAAATTAAAATAAAATTTTTTATAATGAGAATAATAAAAAATAATAAGAGAAATAAGGATAATTGCTATAATTATTCATAAATGTTTGCATCTATGTTGACTAAAGTAGACAACCACCTGTGACATTTTTAGAAAATTGTCATGTAAAAATTCACATTGCAAATAAATAAGATCTTCTTTAAAAAATCTCTATTTTCTTCATGCAAAATACAATTTCTTATCTTTTTCCTTTGTGACCTGTGCATATTTTCGTGAGATTCACCGTAGTATGCACGCTTCTCAGTGCATAGTAACAGTATCTAAGGGGTGAGATCGCTGAGTTCAGAATGGTTTCATTTTTCATTTGTATTTTGGTGTGTTTAGTGATTCTGAATGGACCCGAATAGTAGTTTATATGCAGTCCTTTGGCATCCCGCTGTGGTATTGTTTGATATGGCAGGTTGACTTGTGCTTGTATGTTAAAATTATCATATAATTGAGCTTTACATACATAAAGTTGTATAGAATATCTGCAGTGACATTGCTAATTATGTTTGCAAAAAAGAACATGGAATATTTAAATCTATCTTGAATTTGTTTTATTTTTTAAAAATTACATGTAATTGAAAAGTAATAACAAATACAGAGGTTTTAGTGAATAGAAAAGTTTGGGCTTGCAGTATGGATTTGGAGAGGAGGGGGTCTTGGAGTAAAAAAGGTTGAGAACCACTGCTTTAGGTAAATGCAGGCCCGGTTCTACAGGGATACTAAGAATATAACATTATTTTATTTTATTTTTTATTAAAAATTTAATTAATGCAATATAAAGATACATCCCAACAAGCCTTTTTATTTATTGATTTTATATGTATTTTATCATTTATTTATTTTTCACTTGGTAGATCACTGTGAGTTTCTCATTTGAAAAGTAGATCGCCACACAAAAAAGTGTGGGCACCCCTGCTCTAATGTACACCAGCTGACAAATTCCTACCAGCATCTTTTAAACCAGTGAATCACCCAACCCTGCATGTAATGTGTGTATGTTAGACTGGGCACAGGGACACAGAGTCACATTAAGGTGAAGCTCTATCCCCTGGGCCATTAATTTGACCAATCAGATTGCATCGGCCAGGACCACAAGGGTCTGATTCTATCTGGCTAGGTCATGGTGCAGGGTTAAAGTAATTACTTTGGAAAAAAACACACAGAATAAGACAAAATAGAGCATCAAGATATTTTTTTTCTGAGTGCCACTCCTTTTCCATTTTATATCCCGTTGAGTTATCCCGCTCTTTTGTTGAGCCCACAACTCAGAGGGGTTGTTGATCAAGGTCATCATCAAGAGCAGGCTGGAAAAGAGGTTTAGAGTCCTTATAGTCCCTTATAGACCAACTCCATTCATCTCCACTGCCCTCAACCAGCTCACCCTCTTTTTCATCCTTAGTCGCACTCATTTTTTTCATCCCTTCATCATCTTCCCTGACCTCACATTATTATCCTCCATCTCATCCTCCCACGCTCCTCCACTGCCTCCGTTCGGCCACAGGAAAGCTATTCTGTGATAATGGAACCCTACTGCAAAAAAAAAAAATCATTTTCTAAATCTTTATTTTGCTTCCAGTAAATATTTAGATGGCATAACATATATATATATATATATATATAGTATAGTATTTCAGTCTGGCGAGTACACAAAAAAATATACTAGCCAATGGCGATTCAGTTGCCAAGGTGTCCGTTGAGGGTTGATTGTGTTTAGCGTAACAAAAAATTTTTTACCCAGACATTTAAAAATAACACATTTTAGAGCTGTAACGACAATACCGTGAA